TAACAAATTTGCACATAATACTAAAAAAGGCTAATGATTAATGCAATGAAATATGAAAGTTTTCTTTTAACTGTATTTGGTATTATAGACATGGACTCTGTGCTGCTGGGAAGTAAAAAGGATTATATATTATATCAAATGTAATGAATCCTTTTTTTCCACACTTGGTTCTGTATGATGCGTAAGAAACGGCATATTCATAATATGGTAATCTCAGAAACAGAAGGCTCTGTCTAGCTTTAGCTAAGAAGAGCTGCCTACCAACTATTCTTATTTTATTTTTCTGCAACAGCCAATTCAATGTATGCTGGCTGAAAGGCAGTAGTCCTAAAAAGAAGACAGCAAAAATGGCTTCAGATAGTGGATGAACTACAGATAATACAGAGTATAGTTCAAATATATGCTTCTGATTATAAACCACAACATGATCTGACTGTTGGTGGTCTGTGTGTGTGTGCGTGTGTTTTTTCTAGTATTATGGGAGACTAAAGCTATGTCAGTAACAGGAAACAAGGGCAGCTCTATCACAGTAACCTGCTCTCACTCCAACGCCGACTCCAAAGTCAAATATTTCTGCAAAGGACAATGCACATATCAAGACATCCTCATAAGCAGCACTACCATTTCAAATAAAAAATACAAAATTGAAGATAAAGGAAATACATTCAGTGTCACTATCTCTGACCTGAAAGAAGATGACTCTGGAACTTACTGGTGTGGAATTGAACGAGTTGGTTTGGACACATATAATCAAGTAATCCTTACAGTTTTAGGTGAGTTGATTATATTCTGTACGTAAAGCTTTCATTATGTTATCTGTTCTGACTTTCACGTTTCTTGTCATTGACAATAGTATTTCACAACAGGGTCTCAGACTGTGTTTTCTGCACGAGACAGTGAAAAAAAACTGAGACACTAGCTCAGCAGAGCTGAGGCAAAATTAACTTACTTCACTTTTTGTTATTTATGCACAGCTAACCAAGATAAGGCAGCCTATAGACATGCTTCTCTTTCTGGTAAGCAAATGGCTGTGTGTGTGTTTGTGTGTGTGTACATATATCTGATAAAGTCCAGTGTGAAATATTGTTCCTGATTTATAAGACCTATAACGTTTTCAGAGACGGTGGTGTACACTGGAGTAACTCTCGGTGTGGTGGTGCTAGTGCTGGGCGTGGGACTTCTGATTTTCTTCAGACATCGAAACAGTAACATCAATGCATCATCTGGTATAAAAAATTAACAAACTTTTATTTGCGTAGCTTCAAAATACTAATTTAACAGCAGTTTCAAACACCACAGTTGTTGTCACTGGCTGATTAATTCAGTAATGTGGAACTACATAACTAACTATTCTCAGGAAGTCAAAGTCGAATAAGGATGAGGGTAGTTTTGATATCAGAGGAATGACTGATTGCTGGTTCGTCTTTACCTCTTTACAGGACAGTACTATGACCTGGTGTTCAGGTCCTG